AATTGAAATGACTAAACACTGTTTAAATTTGTGAACCAGCCAAATATTCTGTTCAAAGAAAATACATTGTATGTTTGTATGTGTGTTTCTAATTATTGCTATTTATTCATATTTGTTCTCTTTTATTCTTTAAAGTTTAACAATTCATTCTTTATCTTAATATCTTCATATTTGTTTGGGGTTGGCTTTCTTCCCTTTCATCTTTTTTTTTGTACAGCAATCTTTCTCCTCAAACCTACCACCTCTCTCTTTTCTTTCCTTCTTACTTTATCTTCCCCCCCTCTTCTCCTCCTCCCTACTTCCCCTTCCTTTCTCCTCCTACTCCTCCTCTCTTCCTCCCTCTCTTACCCTCACTCCTACTCTAATTTCCCTTCTCTTCCTTCATCCCTCTCTATTGCTGTATCCTTTTATGCATATGGACTACTCAGAGGGCTGAAAAAGTTATTTTTGACTGGTCTGATCCTCACACTTTTGACCAGTCCTTGAACTTACGACTGTCCTCACATTTTACATTTTTGCCCTATCTTGTCATCATGGTGAAGAGAAGCAGTTGTGAAATGAGTGACATGGTTGTTAAGAATGTTGCAGGGGCATAAATGTGAGGATGGTCATAAGTATGAGGACCAGTCAAAAGTGCGAGGACCTGTCAGAAATGACTTTTTTCTATACACATAGCCATGGCCACCCAGTCACATGACCAGTTAGCCACGCCCACCCAGTCACATGGCCTCCAAGCCACGCCCACAAAATGGTGGGTGTCCTGCTTTACCAATGTTAAAATCTGGTCACCTTAATGTAGAGCACCATCAGTATGTCATATTACACAATGTAGTGAATCAAGAATGTAGTTAAGTATTGTTTAGTGCAAGTGCTATTTAGTACCCTGGATTGAAAACAAAATAAACAGGCAAAACTTCCAAATAAAATAAAAAGTTCATTAAAAAACTGGGCACCACTATTTTCATAGTGTAATAGAATTTATTGTTTGCTTCCTTCTATACTAATACAATCACTTTCCTGAATAATCTTAACAGTCTCTCCTACAAAATTAAAATAAATAAAAAATAGGGAGATTTATTTTGAGCAGATTTATATCAAACATAACTTTTTAATAAAATAAGAGATTTTAAAACAGAACAGAATTATTTACTTTAGATCTTAAAATACAGTGTTAGGAAATGATCAGCAGTGTAATCCTATATATGTCTATTTAAAAGTAAATTATTCAGTAGGGATTACTCTCAGTTAACTAGGAATAGCCTTGTATCATAAATTGTTTTAGCTTTGAATACAGGGGGATGATTTAAATATTAAGAACCAGATTATTCAGCATAATTAAGTTTCCTTTTTCAGAATGATTAGGGAAAGGAGCTCTTAGGTCATTTCACATATAATTATGCAATAAAGGGTGCCGATCCTTACATATCATGCAAGGTCCATGGTTTATTATACAAAGCACAATTACTAGGCTAAACTATAAAAAAACAGGTTATTTTTTTTAAGAAAAAGACTAAGTGTATATATTGCACTAAAACAAAACGAAGCAAAATTCATTATGGCTAAGAGGACGATTCATTCAATGGAATTTGGCTTGACATGGAGATAAAGCATATCATATGAATTGTTGTGAAATAGGGTATCTAGTAGAACACAGAAAATTACCCCTTAAAAAGCAGCTGTACAAAGACTTATTCTGAATCAAAAGCTATACTTAATTATATATGTTGGAGAACACATTACTTTAATTCTGTGTAAATAAGATGGGGAGCCTTTTAAATTGCACCAGCCCTTTGTAGTTGTCAAAATATTTGAATTATATTTTAAATTTAATAGAAAGAAATTTGGTTAAAGAATTGTTAAAGCAGTTAACTTAGTTGATTAAACAGTCATACTGGAGAAAATAAGGAACAAGCATGAAAACCCAATAGGCAGAAAACAAAATATTGATGTAAGATGGGTGTTATTAAATAGATTATATTTAAGAAGCATTTAAAAACATTAAAAAGCATTAAGAAGGGGCAGTTTAAGAATAAAATGCATTGGACTAGAAGTTCTTGGTGGACATTGGCTGAAATTATTTTATTCTTTATGTTTTTGCTACAGAATTCAGGGAAAAATAGTTACAAAATAGGAATTTTAGAAGGTAGAACATTATGTGGATTTGTGGCTCAGATATGGTGGCAGGGGGAGCATCAAAATTACAAATTCTGTACAGAAGCCAATGTGAATGTTCCAAAGCATCCCTTGAACTTCAAGGCACGTTGGGAATCAAATGAAGATTGCTACATCTAATAGGATGTATTTCAGTTCCATTATACAATATGAGCTAGAGTTTCAACATCATATCTGAGGTCTCTGTTTCTGATAATGTGCATTTAATACATATTTAGAAGCTCAATTAAATCCTTTTAAGTGATTTGGATTTCAATCTTGATACCCCCAAGAATTAAAAGAAGATGTAGTTCAATGTTACTGCAAAATACTATTTTTAAAAATAAAGCTACTGAAATCTTTATTTCTGATTTGTTTGTCCATTGTAACTGGAATGTGTAATTGTCTTTAGGCATGCAGTGGCCTGGCCAATGGGATTAGTTTTGTTAAATCTTCCCTATTTGCTTTCTTCAACCAAGAAATTATCTAATCACAGCCTTCTTGAATTTATGCTTTTCACTAAGTGAAAATCTGTAAATCAGTACCTTAAGCTTCTAGAAAGCCGTATGTTCTTTGGAATTCCTTTCTCTGATAGTTGCACATTAATACTGGACTAGTAGTTAAGTCCAGTGTTTACAATTATTACTATAGTAACGGTATCCTTAGCCACTGAGATATTGTTCTGATTTGTATTATGTAGCAAGGCTAAAATTGGTACTTCCTGTTTTGTTTTGGGCTTCTGCATTTTTGTTTCTTAAACTAATCAAAATCAAGAAATAGCCTTAACATTTGAACTTAATGGAGGTATCATTAGCTAGTACCTTAAGTTATATTATTTCATTAACAGATTCTGCTGCTAAATGCACAAAAAATGAAAGCTTAGAAATAAAATTCATCCAAGAATTTGGTTTGTTTTGATTTTCAACATCAGCATATTGCAGCAATCTGCTCATTATTAAGGAATATTTGTGTTAATAGGATGTTATATCTAGCTTAAACTAGTCTTCAAGATCTATTGCCATTAGTGGGATGTGAAGGTGCTTACAACTGCCAAATGTACTGATTAAATGTTGGATTTAGGCTGGAAAGACTGAGGTTCAAGTCCCTGTTCAATCATGGTATTTAGTAAGTGATTTGAGCCTCTCATTTTTTGTCCAGGCATTTGCCAGAAGTTAATACAGTAAGGACTTGAATACAAATACTCTCTTTCTTTCTCAGTTATCGTGGGGAAAAATTAAGCACCATGTTAGCTGCTTAGAGTTGGTTGATAGTCTTTCAAAAAAAGGTGACAAAAAGATGCAAAAATGAATAAGATTAAGGTTTGTATTCACACTAGGTATTTTATATTAGATCACAGCAACGCTGTTATATAACAACATAGCATATGAGGTTATGACTAGTCCTTTTTGAACTGATTACACTGAGGGTTAAAATGGTTGCCTTTGAATCATCCTCAACTCCTAGTGACTGCCTGAACTAATCCCTAAAGTTTTGTTGGCAAGATTTTAGGTTTACCCTAGCTTTCTTCTTGCAAGGGCTGAGAATGAATGACTGGCCCAAAGTGATCCAGCTGGTTTTATGCCTAAAGCTGGACTAGAATTACAATTTCCTGATTTGTAGCTCAGTTGCCTTAACATGCAATTGAAAGGGCTGAAATTCACTTTTAAGAATGTTTGCTCTGGCAGCAAACTGTCTTTTGTTATTCGAGACCAAGTAGGTAACAACCCAAAACAGAGCTTTTAAGTTGTACCATCATTTAGGATTTTTTTTCCTCTAAAGTAATTTGATAAGTACCAAAATCTTTTGGTCTCATATGGAAAGACTTTTCAATAGCATTTGTAAGTAATTGCCTTGGAAGTATTAAATATGGTATAGAAATCTTTAAATAAATAAACAGTAAGAGGCATACTTTTTGCTACGGCCCTGTTCTTTTCTAATGTAAACTTTATTAAAGTTTTACATGTAAAATAAACATGAAACACAATACAGAAATTAATATAGAAACTGAACCTGCAAAACTAAACATCTAACTTAAAAAAACATACAGCCCTCCTATTCTAAAATGAATTAAAAGGCCATTGTACTCTATATCATTTTTCAACTATTGTAAAGTCTTGGAGCCCGTTTGAAAACTGTTTTGAGATAAATCACCATGGTCCAATTGTTTATTGCTGCATGGATTATCATCTGGGGAGAATATATATCACTGGTAGGGCGAAAGGGCAATAGAAAATAAGCAAAAAGTTGATGAAATAGATAATCAACAAGTTGCTTTAGTTTAGTTGTCATCTTAATGCCATCATTAATGTCATCTCAATGCCAGCAAATCATTTCAATGAATGGCTAGGTTTGTTAGTTAAAGCGCTGCTTTTCTCCAACATACATCTCATCTTTTTCTCGATATTTTAAAAAAGTTGGTCGGGAAGAAGGCAAAGTAAGGTTTTTCATTGCCAGCTACCACTTTTCCGTTCCTGCAATTTTAACCAGTTTAACTTCTTTAATCCAAGCCAATGTCTGTTGAAGCTCCTTCTGCATTTACCTTCAACAGGTCTGCGAGCTCGCTTTCTAACCCAACAACTTTTTCAGAAATCAGTGTATGAAGGAATGAACGAACCGTGAACTTCCTTTTATCCTAAAGACATTGCTCTGTGCTCTTTGGAAGCAAGGGTGAGGCCGCGAGGTAACTTATGTAGGCGGGAGCGCATGTTTGGCTGTCACCATTACAGTACTTGGCGCGCGCCCAAGGGTGGAAACGGGCGCGAGGCAGCTGTTATCACCCGAGGGCCTCAGTCCAGGGCTCCAGAAGCCCTTAAAAGTCTGCTGCGGGACAGGATCGCCCCTTTCTCTACCTTTTGAGGAAGTGGCACGTACCGAGGGAACTTCTCACTTTCGCCTCCGAGTGGTAGTTTTTACACAGCAAACATCCGTGCGCGCGCCCTCGCTCACGAGCTCTGTGACATGGTAGAATGCCGGAGATTTATTGCGGCATAAGCTGGTATGTCACGGCACATCTAAAGTCCTTGTCTTCACGATTCCAGGAGACTTATTTCCTGACAAATTGGAGAAGCCTGGATTCTCTAACAGAGGGGCTTTTAACCAGACCCACTACATTCCACCATGCCACCCTAGCCCCGTCCTCCGCAAGACGATCTTTGGGAATGGGCGCCGCGCGCAGGGCACAGAGAAGTACGATGCCTGTCCTGAGGCGCAAAAATGGACTCTCGAAGATTACATGGCCGTGAATATGCTGCTAAGGGAGAGTTGTTGGAGGCGCCACTGTTTTGGCACCTAAGCGATGGAGGCCCAGGCCGTGTCTACAGCGGGATCTTTCCGCCAAGAGGGACAAGCGCGCCAAGCTGCAAGAACATGTCCGTCTCTCTGCCTTACTGTTTCCATAACAGGCGCCTCGCCTCCGCCTTCTCTTCCCTTCCCCAGCAGGACCCGCCCGCGGTGCGGCCTGTCCCCTCCCTCCTTGGGAGCAGCCGGCGGCTGCAAAGCGGGGAAAGGGGAGGGTCCAGAGCGCTCGACGGGCGCGCTGAACCGGGCACGGAGCAGGGCTGGCGTCGGTCACAACAGAGCCGAGCCTCCCACCGCCCGCGCTGCTGCGGCATGTCTGAGGCTGGTGCGGCCGGGCTTGGAGCTACCGCTGCAGCTGCAGCGGCAGCAGGAGCAAGCTTCGGGGGCAACGGCGGCGGGGCCGGAGCACTGCAGCAGGGTTCCCCGGCCGCTGGAGGGTTGCCTGCTTGTGGTCCCGCCCGAGCTGTTATCGCTGCTGCCGCAGCTGCTACTGCTGAGAGCCCTGCAGGAGGAGGCAGTGGAGGTGGTGGTAGTAGTAGCAGCAGCAGCGGGGGGGGGCTCGGCTCGGCTCGTATCGCGGGGAAGAAGGCACAGCTTCGCTCTGCACCCCGCGCCAAGAAGCTAGAGAAGCTGGGAGTTTACTCTGCCTGCAAGGTACCCAGCCAGCCCTAGGATTGGGGAGGAAAAATAGACAAGATTAAGGGATTGCATCGACGTCCAGCACAGAGGTCGCCGCACTTGCTGCTTGCCCTTAGGGGGCGCCCAAAGATGTAGCTGTTGCAGTTTATAGTTGTCGTCAGAAGGGGAGGTGCGGGAGTGGTTCGCTGGGACTGCAGCCGGTGCTTTTAACGAAATAAATAGGCTCTGAAACGCAGCGGTTGGCTCGGTGGTCATTTTCAGGGTACGCGTGTGCGGTTTCCCGCTGGACTTCCTACTGGTATTTAGCGTGGCAATTGGTTTCCAGTTGGAAAAGTATTTTTCTGCTCAATTATTCGTGTGTACCTGTGTGGTTTATAAAGAGCAATTAATTCTGATTAATTATTTCTCCTTGCATACATTCATGGTTCTAATTCGCGATACAAAATTCTGTTGCATCAATTGGAGTTCTGTGTGCAAAATACCACATCATCTTTAAAAATATCAGTTGTCAAATATCAAATTGCTTGAAAATGAAACTGTCTTACAAATTGTTCTTGTATGAAACAACTGAATATTTAGGGTAAAAACTTTTTAGTGTTGGTCAGATCTTCACTAAATCTTTATTTGTTTCAACTCTGGCAAGATGCAGAAGGTGCTAAAATTTAGCCCATGTAACAATTGTGAGAGATCAACTCCCCTTTCCTTTGTTCAACTGCTCAGTGGAGACACCTTTGGTTACCTCTCTGTAATCTCTGCACAGCAGTATTTTTCAGTTTACCTTTCTCTGGCTTTGTTTTGCAAAGCTTAGCTCAATTTCTTCACTTGAATCTTTTGTCATCATTCCATGTGGCTCATTTCTGTTCTGCTGCTCTTGAATAAGTTTCTCCAACCTGGTGTCTTTCAAATGAGTTCTGATAATTACAATCACAGCAGCCCTGAGAATAAAGGAAATTGCATCTCTACAAATCTGGATGGCATCAAGCTAGGGAGTAGGTTACCTGCTCCACTCTTTGTATTTTTAGCACTCTATAGATTTCTATCGAAGTTGTTTTTCCTCTTTGTAGCTACTAGTTTACAATCCCATCATCAATATGGTTTTTTAAAAGATCCATTTTTTAATATACATATTCCTAGTGGTATTTTTGAAGAAGTGTTTTTAACAAGGAGAACACAGATGTGTGCATTAAGAGGGAATGTTTATAGTTCTGCTCTTGTTCTTTGCAGTAGTAAGAAAATAAACTATTTTGGCAGCAGTCATAAAAAGATACATTGCTGAAACTAAGCAGAACATCAGTGCAAAGTAACACAGAGAGTCAAGAAAACTCAACCCGAACAGGCTTTGCCAGTTTTGGTTTTCATGTGTTATTTACTTGGCAAAATGCTGTTTCAATTGCTTCTCGTGTAAACATAAAATTAGGCACAAAACCAAAGTCTGCTTTAAACAGTCACTGTATATTTGTTAAGAAATAAACAATTCTGCTTCCTGATTTTTTTTTATTTTTGCAGTAGGGGAGGTTTGCAAGAAAGCCATTCCAGCATTCCCTATTGAGTAGTGTAGTGCCAGTGAATGTGAGAGAGGAGGAGAGTAAAAGAGATACTTGGATTGGAAACAAGCAGTTATAGCTCCTCCTGTTCACCCACTTCCTTCTGCCAAATCTTGGCAACAGAGCCTTTGTTTTGACAGGATGGCAGCAGAAGGAGGTGGGGATTGTTGCTTGTTCCTTCTGCAGCCTATGGCTGACAAGAACTCTGACACACGCACACAAAAGTGGATTACCAATTGTGTGAGGTTAGAAAGAGCTCAGCAGCCTGGAAACACATTGAAAGGATTTTTTCCCCTCTGTTTATATCAATGCTATTATTGCAAAAGGAAGCTAGGTCAAATAAAGCCATGCAGAGCTTTATTTATCCTTTTACAGTTTTTGAAGAAATTTTGCTCATTGTATGGATACTTCCCTTTTCTCAGTTTAATCTCATAGTACCATGTACTATGTAGGTCTGAGTGGTGGTGACAGGTGTAATACCATCTATACAGTTCAGTTCAATGGGAATTTGAATTTTCATCTTCCAAGGTCCTAGTTTTCTGCTCTTATATTCCATGTCTTTGAACATATTTTAGGTAATGCTTTTATATATTTTTATTTCATAAATGTATATAAGTATTAAAAGATGAACACCACTTTAAAGGTGGTAAGTGTAACAATTTAAAAAATTTAGAAACTATGTTATAAACACAGCAACTTCCAGAATGTTGACCATGTTGCTAAAAGATTCTTATTTTTTGTAATTAAAACAACAAACCCTGACACACCATATATATTAACACATATGTACTCCTGCAAATCAGGGAAGATTTTTCTTTCCTATGCTGTGTTATAATTCATTTAACTAATTTTATCACTGGAAAATCCACAATCATTAATATCTTTATAGATTCAAAAAAATAGGAATATAGCCAGCAAAAAGAAAAAAATGTCTTTCATGTCAAATGATTGTCCCCCAGAGTCTTGTTATCAACTATCTTCATATTAGCCTAAAATGCAATAAAAATAGGAAAAACCAGTCCATGTTCATTAATGTTTCAACTCCTGAGTTATATTGCCAACAACCAAATTATTGTAACCATTTTTTCTGAACATAAGAGGCATCTAACAGTGAATTTGTCAAAGCAAATTCATGTATTAATCTCTTTAAAATCAAAGGAAATGAATTTCACATTGCTTAATCCAATCCAGCAGTGGTTTACAAAGACCGGACATCCAAACTCATTTTTTCAAGGTCACATAACAAACTGATATCAATTTCAGCACTTTCCTTCAACTATTTAATCAAACCAGAGATAATTCCTCTAAAATCTTTACAGTGGAATAATAGAAGTAGCAAATATATCTGAGCAAGTAAAAACTAAACTAAGCTAGCAGGATTGAATATACTGCCAAGGAATATTTAAGCGATACTTAATACAGGTAATCCTCAATTTACAACAGTTCATTTAGTGACCGTTTGAAGTTACAACAGCCCTGAAAAAAATGACTTATGATCATTTTTCACACTTAACGACCATTGCAGCATTTCCATGGTCATGTGATCAAAACGTGGCCATTTGACAACTGACATATATATGACGGTTGCAGTGTCCTGAGTCGTGTGCTTTTTTGCGAACAAAGTCAATGGCTATCCAGATTCACTATGTTACTAAATGAATAATTGCAGCAATTCACTTAACAACTGTGGGAAGAAAAGTAGTAAAATGGGACAATATTCATTTAACAAATGTTTCACTTAGCAACAGAAATTTTGGGTTCAGTTGTGGTTGTAAGTTGAGGACTACCTGTAACGATATATGAATGGAACATACATTTGTAAAAACAACATTGTTTTGGAAATGAGATTTGCAGCTGTCCTTGATAAATACAAAGATTATACAATACATATCTAAGTGCCTGTGTTTTAAGCAAAACGTAACAGTTTGAAGAAATTATCAACATTAATGCCAATGCAGAAAATCTAATTTCTGATGACTTACCATCACAAGAAATTTCCTTAAAAGTTGTTGCCTGATCACTGTACTCAGTAAAGAAATAAGTAAAGAAACACTAAATAAAACGGACAAATGTTTTTTTATTTTTTATTTTGAAACTAATAATATAATTGTCCTGGTTGGTTAGTAAAAATGACACTGAGCTATTAGAATTTAGTAAAATCGGCAGAATTATACAATTTGAAAAATTATGTATTGTATGCATAATTAATTGATAGTGTATAATACTTTATTGGGGCACAAAGAACTTAATAATTTAAAATATAATTCTCAGGAAGTTTGAGGAAAAAGGAGGTGGTATATATATATAGGGTTGAATTAGAAAGCAGTAGAAGTAGTCCTTGATTTACAACCACAATTGAGCCCAAAATGTCTGTGTGAAGTGAGACATTT